CTCTTTGGTGGTGACGGCGGTGGGGGCTTCTTCTTCGTCGTCCCCCCCCCAACCTTCTTGCCCGGCGGCGTGTTCCTGCAGCAACCAGGCCAGCCGGGTGATCTGCACCCGCCGGGAGCTGCTGGAGGTGCCCCCCAGCATCTCGGTGAACACGCGGTACCTCAACCTGCAGGAGAACCACATCCAGGTGATCCGCACCGACACCTTCAAGCACCTGCGGCACCTGGAGATCCTGCAGCTGAGCCGCAACCTGGTGCGCAAGGTGGAGGTGGGGGCCTTCAACGGGCTCCCCAACCTCAACACCCTGGAGCTCTTCGACAACCGCCTCACCACCGTCCCCACCCAGGCCTTCGAGTACCTCTCCAAGCTGCGGGAGCTGTGGTTGAGGAACAACCCCATCGAGAGCATCCCCTCCTACGCCTTCAACCGCGTCCCTTCCCTCCGCCGCCTGGACCTGGGCGAGCTCAAGAGGCTGGAGTACATCTCCGAGGCCGCCTTCGAAGGCTTGGTCAACTTGCGGTACCTCAACTTGGGCATGTGTAACCTCAAGGAGATCCCCAACTTGACGGCTTTGGTCAGGTTGGAAGAGTTGGAGCTTTCGGGGAACCGCTTGGGGAAAGTCCGACCCGGTTCCTTCCAAGGTTTGGGCAGCTTGAGGAAGCTGTGGTTGATGCACGCCCGGGTGGCCGCCGTGGAACGCAACGCCTTCGACGACCTCAAAGCCTTGGAGGAACTCAACTTGGCCCACAACGAGCTGGCCTCGCTGCCCCACGACCTCTTCGCCCCCTTGCACCGCCTGGAGCGGGTCCATCTCCACCACAACCCTTGGCGTTGCGATTGCGACGTCCTCTGGTTGAGCTGGTGGCTCCGGGAGACCGTTCCCAGTAACACCAGTTGCTGCGCCCGGTGTCACGCTCCGCCGGCGTTGAGGGGCCGGTATTTGGGGGAGCTGGAGCCCGGCCATTTCACCTGTTACGCCCCCGTCATCGTGGAACCCCCCGCCGACCTCAACGTCACCGAGGGGATGGCGGCCGAGCTCAAGTGTCGCACGGGGACGGCCATGACCTCCGTCAACTGGTTGACCCCCAACGGGACCCTCATGACCCACGGTTCTTACCGGGTCCGGATCTCCGTTTTACACGACGGTACCCTCAATTTCACCAACGTCACCGTGCAGGACACGGGGCAGTACACCTGCATGGTCACCAACGCCGCCGGCAACACCACCGCCTCCGCCACCCTCAACGTCTCGGCCGCCGACGCCGCCGCTGCCGCCGCCGCCGCCGCCGCTGCCACCGGCTTCATCAGATGGTGGGCACCCATCTGAACGTCCCCCAGATGGTGGGGAGCCCCTCCAAAACACCCATGGATGGTGAGGAACCCCCCCCAAGACCTTCATCAGATGGTGGGCACCCATCGGAACGTCTCCTGGATGGTGGGGAGCCCCCCCCAAACTGCCCCTGGTTGGTGGGGAACCCCCCCAGACCTTCCTCAGATGGTGAGGAACCCCCCCAAGAGCTTCATCTGATGGTGGGCACCCATATGAACGTCCCCCGGATGGTGGGGAGCCCCCACACACCTTCCTTGGATGAGGGGGACCTCCCCAACACCGTCCTCAGAGGGTGGGCACCCCCCCAAGACCTTCATCAGATGGTGGGCACCCATCAGAACGTCCCCCAGATGGTGGGGACCCCCACCAAGGCCCTCCTTGGATGGTGGGGAGCCCCCCCAGACCTTCCTCGGATGGTGAGGACCCCCCCCCAAGAGCTTCATCAGATGGTGGGCACCCATCTGAACATCACCCAGATGGTGGAGAGCCCCCCCCAAACTGCCCCTGGATGGTGGGGACCCCCCCAAGAGCTTCACCAGATGGTGGGCACCCATCTGAACGTCCCCCAGATGGTGGGGAGCCCCTCCAAAACACCCATGGATGGTGAGGAACCCCCCCCAAGACCTTCATCAGATGGTGGGCACCCATCTGAACGTCCCCCAGATGGTGGGGAGCCCCTCCAAAACACCCATGGATGGTGAGGAACCCCCCCCAAGACCTTCGTCAGATGGTGGGCACCCATCTGAACGTCCCCTGGATGGTGGGGAGCCCCTCCAGACCTTCCTTGGATGGTGGGGACCCCCCCCAAAACCTTCCTCGGATGGTGAGGAACACCTTCCTTGGATGAGGGGGACCTCCCCAACACCGTCCTCAGAGGGTGGGCACCCCCCCAAGACCTTCATCAGATGGTGGGCACCCATCAGAACGTCCCCCAGATGGTGGGGACCCCCACCAAGGCCCTCCTTGGATGGTGGGGAGCCCCCCCACACCTTCCTTGGATGAGGGGGACCTCCCCAAGACCTCCCTGACCCCACCTCGGATGGTGGGGGGACCCACCTGAACCTCCCCCCGATGGTGGGGAACCCACCCAGACCTTCCTCCGGTGGTGAGGAACCCCCCCAAGAGCTTCGTCGGATGGTGGGCACCCATCGGGACGTCCCCCGGATGGTGGGGAGCCCCCCAAGAGCTTCATTGGATGATGGGCACCCATCTGAACGTCCCCCAGATGGTGGGGAGCCCCCCCAAAAACGCCCATGGATGGTGGGGACCCCCCCAAGAGCTTCATCGGATGGGGGGCACCCACCCGAACATCCC